GCGGGTGGGAGCCAGGCGGGTGGAAGCCAGACGGGCTTTGCCCCGCAAGTGGGGCTGGACTTGGGGTGACTCACAGAGCTTGCAGAGTTGGGCCGGTCCGGCGCCTTCCACTCCTTTTCTGTGTCGTCTCTGCTGACTTACTTGGCCTTTGTTGTCTCGGGCTGCTCGCTCGATTCTGCAGCGCGGCCTGGGTGCTCTCAGGAATTTTCTTTTGTGACGGCCCAAAAACCTCGAATCTGTAGTTGCTTTTTCGTCATTGTAGGTTAGTTGTTCAAAGATTTATTCGTTTTTTCTTGCTCTTGGAAATGCAAATAGTACTCTGGTATCACAGCGTACACTTTTCAGGGTCGCGCTGTCTCCTGGCATGGCCGCTCCAGACCCGTCACCATTTTTGTCCTTAGGTATTTCACTTTTTGGTAGCTACTATAAATGGGGTTACTTTTTAATTTCTTTTTCAGATATTCCATTATTGGCTTATAGAAATGCTATTTATTTTTATATCTTGATTTTGTATTCTGCAACTTTACTGAATTTATGTGTCAGTTTTAGCAATTTTGGGTGGAGTCTTTGGGGTTTTCTAAATATTTGGTGTTGCCATCAGCAAATACAGATAGTTTTTATCATTACAGGGTATTGATTTTATCAAATGCTTTTTCTGCATCTATTGAAATGATTGTATGGTTTTTGTCTTATATTCTGTTGCTGTGATATAACACATTTATCGATTTGCATATGTTGAACCACCCTTGCATCCCTGGGATGAATTTCACTTGATCATGGTGAATGATTTTTTTAAATGTGTTGTTGGATTCTGTTTGCTAGTATTTTGTTGAGGATTTTTGCATCTATGTTCATTAGGGATATTGGTCTGTTGTTTTCTTTCCTTGTGTTCTTTTCTGGTTTGGGTATGAGGGTAATGCTGGCCTCATAGAATGAGCTTGGAAGTATATCCTCCTCTTTAATTTTTTAGGAGAGTTTAAAAAGAATTCATATTAGTTATTCCTTAAATATTTGGTAGAATTCAGCAGTGAAGTTGTCTGGTCCTGGGCTTTGTTTTGTTGGAAGAATTTTTATAACTGCTTCAATCTCATTACTCATTTTTGGTATGCTTAGGTTTTCTAATTCTTTATGAATCAACTAGAAATTTATCCATTTCTTCTAGATTTTCCAGTTTGCTAGCATATTGTCTCTTTATTCATAATCTCATAATTCTTTGTATTGCTGTGGATTAATTATAATGTCTCCTTTTTTATTTCTGATTTTACTTATTTGAGTCTTCTCTCTTTTTTTCTTCATTAATCTAGCTAACAGTTTATCAATTTTCTTTATCTTTTCAAACAACCAACTCTTCTTGATCTTTTGTATTGGGTTTTTAATTTCAAATTTATTTATTTATTGCCTGATCTTTGTTATTATCTTCTTTTAATTTTGGATTTGGTTTGTCCTCATTTTTCTGGTTCCTTTTGGTTTAAAATTAGGTTGTTTATCTGAAGTCTTTCTAATTTTTTGACATAGACATTTATTGCTATAAACATCCCTTTTCAAACTGCTTTTGCCATCTCCCATAGTTTCTGTAATGTTGTGTTTTCATTGTCATTTGTCTCTAGGAATTTTTTAATTTCTTAAATTTGTTGTTTAAGAGCATGTTGTTTAATTTCCATATATTTGTACAGTTTCTAATGTTTCTTCTGTTCTTGATTTTTTGGTTTTATGCACTGTGGTTAGAAAAGACTGTTGGTATGATTTCAATTTTTAAAAATTCATTAAGATTTGTTTTGTAACCTCACATATGATCTGTTATAGAGAATATTCCATGTACTGCTGAAAAAATGTGTGTTCTGCAGCTGTTGGGTGGAATGTTCTATAAATATCTGTTAGGTCCAATTGGTCTAGAGTGGAGATTAACTCTCATGTTTCCTGGTTAATTTTCTGTCTGGACGATCTATGCTTTGCTGAAAGTGGGCTGTTAAAGTCACCAACTATTATTGTGTTGAAGTATGTCTCTCCCATTAAGTCTAATAATATTTGCTTTATATATCTGAGTGTCTCCATGTTGGGTGCATATATATTTCAATTTGTTATATCCTCTTACTTAATCTCTTTATAATTATATAGTGACCTTCCTTATGTATTTTGTTAATACTTTTCTTGTCTTGAAATTTATTTTCGTAGAACAGCTACTTCTGCTCTTTTTTGCTTTCCATTTGCATGAAATATCTTTTTCATCCATTCATTTTAAGTCTATGTGCATTCCTTATAAGTGAAGTGAATTTCTTATGTGCAGCATATTGCTGGTTCATGTTTTATAATTCATTTAACCATTCTGTGTCTTTTAAATGGGGGGATTTAATCCATTTATGTTTAAAGCTATTATTGATATATAAGGACTTGTTACTTCCATTTTGTTACTTTTTTCTGTTTGTTTTGTAGATTCTTTTTTTCTGTCTTACTGTCTACCTTTGTGGTTAAGTAATTTGCTCTAGTATTTTTGCTAGTACATTTTGATTTAACATTATTTATTTTTAGTATATCTATTATAGGTTTTTGTGTTATGGTTATATGTTTAACATTTTGTGGAATTGCCACAATGGCCCCCTATTTTACATTCCTGCCACAGGTTTTGAAGGATAAAGTTGTGTAGCCCATTGGCAGCAAGGGTGTCATACCAAAATCTCCAGCTCAGTGTAATACTTTGTTAATTTACAGGTATCTATGTGTTTGAGGCTAGCAGTGATGAGTGTGGTGTTCCATTTTTATTTTATTACTACTTACAATTATAAACTCATTGTTTTTGAATTGCAAAGTAACTCAGGGGGTTTCAAGTCCAAACCCAATTTTTCATGAGAAGAAACTGACACCCTTCCCTGCTCCAGATGTTCAGAAACTTGCTCAAGATCACAGATCATGTTGGGCATACATAATTGAAACCAAATCCAGGTCTTCTGGTTTGCTGGCCATTAGAGACTATGTAGACTTAGTACAAGTAGGTGGTAGGAGGCTGAGAAGGTAAAGGAAGATGTTGGAGAGAGGGACAGATTGTAGATTATACATTCTTATATGCAAGCAGGGATGAGGGCATATGTAAAAAAAACACATTGCTTTTTATCAACAGAAGAGCATATACACTACTGATTGGTTCCCTAAAAGTGATGGTGGAATTCCACCTGACTTTGCATATTCTACAGCTGCACTGTCCAGTATGGTAACCACTGGCCACATGTGGCTGTTGAGCATTTGACTATTCCTGGTGCAACTGAGGAACTGAATTTTTTAATTTATTTAATTTTAATTTAAACACCCATATGTGACAAGTGACTACCACATTGGATTGCACAACTCTGGAATTGTTAAATATTAGAACTGAAATTGAAATGAGGAGATTTAGGTTACAGAATTAGAAGTCACTTGACCAAGAATAGTTACTTTATTATGTAACCAGGGCTTGTTCCTGTTATGACCAGAATCAAGATTATTCGGGTGCTTTGAAATGGAGAAGGTGAGGGCTGATCAGTTAGCTCACTTGGGAAAGCATGGTGCTGATAACACCAAGGTCAAGTGTTCAGATCTTCATACTGGCCAGCCACCAAAAAAAATAATAATAATAACAAAAGAAAGAAAGAAAGAAAAAAGAAAAGAAACAGAGAAGAGAGATAATATGCAGTAGTCATTTCTTATGGCCAAATAACAGTAGATCTGCTTTCATTCATGCTATTTTGTTTCATATTTAGATTATCTGGATGGTAAATGGAAGGGATTTCTTTTTTCATATGTAAAGAATCAGAGCATCAGTGAGATTAATCAGCTTGCTTCTTATCACCCAATTAATAAGTGATGGAACAAGGATTGGAATGCAGGTCTTATGCCAAATCCCATGGCTTTTCCATTGTATCTCCAGGAAGAAAATGCTATTTAGGGATAAAATTGGGTAAAACTAAAATGAGACAAAGATTAATAATTTGGATAATAATACCCATTTCTGAAGATTGTTGTTGTGAGGGTCAAATTGAATGAAATGTGAGAAGTAGTTGTGTTAGTACCTGTCCTATAGCAACTGTTCAGTCTATGCTGTTTGAATCTGGGCTAGAGGGAAGTACTAATGCTATAGCACAGAGGAGATGACGGGGTAAAGGAGGACACTGAGCTCCCAATCTATAGTCCTGGGAGCCACTGTTAGTGACCACAGGGCTGGAACACCCTGTTTGGAACATGGTTTAAAACCTTTCATTCATTTATTCCATTCATTCAACAAATATATATTGAACATCTTTTATGTGCTATGTGCTGTATTTGGCATTGGGGATCTAATAGGATTAACTGTGCTGATCCTATCACAAAGGTGATGAAAACAAGACAGAGAAGTGCCCACTGGATATTGTCACTTGGGGGTTGTCAGAACTTTGGCTAGAGCAATGCAGATGACAGCTGGAGTGGGATGTAGGGCCAGGGATTTTTTCCATGTTAGGAAAGGTCTAGCAGAGAGGGATGGATATGGATGTAGTGGTGGAGGGGGAGAACAAGAGGAGAGAGCCAGGGAGAGGGCATGGGCTCCACAGGTGGAGGACTGGCTTCATCAGAAGCATGGACCTTCCATCCATTGCACCTAAGGAAACCCAGTGGGTGGGGCCAGGCATAGGAGGTTGTTGATTTGGTGGTGGAACCATGGGAAAGATCTCCATAAGAGGTGAAACAAGGTCATCACCTAAGAGGAAAGTGGAGAAGTGGGAGAAAGCTGATGATAGAGGAGGAAGCATCACATTGTTGTCTTGGAGAGTGACAAAAGAATGGAAAATGGTGTCTCTAATTCTTTAACCCTGCTCCTTACGGTGCCTTCTGCTCCAAGCTTGCCCCTCAGCCCATCTCCCTCACCCTTTCCTTCTCCTCTTATTGCCTTCCCTACTTCTCCTGCATTCAGAGACTCAGAGAATTCTAGAAAATCAGAAAGAGTTTTCTCTGTCCATGTTCTTTGAGATCAACTAGCCCACTCCCTTGTTGTCCAGGTGGAGAAATGGGCCCAGAAGGTCTGGGATCAGCCCAAGGCCACACTGGACTAGATGTTGAGCTCACCCTTGATGTGGAAATTCTTAACTCCACTGGCCCTTTTCCTTCTCTACCATGATTCCTTTTATTCCCCCCCACCCCATCCCAGGGTCCCTATGACAGGCCAGTCATGCTGTCAGCATTTAGTGAGCACTTCCCATGTGCTGGTGTGTACGGTGATTTTAGAGCTATAAAAACAGCATCTGCCCTCAAGAAGCTCATGGACTACACATAATTTTAAGACAGTGTGATCTGGGTGGTAATAACAGAGTAAGATCTGACATGTGAAGACATTAGCTCATTCCAGACCTTGGGCAGTTGTATAAGAACCCCGAGGAGGGACCCCTCCAGGTGGAACTTAAAGGAGAAGTAAGACTATTCCAGGCATAGGAAAGAAGAAGGGAATTCTAGGCAGAGGACAGAGGCTGGCAAAGGCTCAGAGTCATGATATGTGCATAGCACAGATGGTGCACCTGGTGGTTAGGACTGTGGGCTTTGGAGCCAGATCACCTGGGCTTGGGTCCTAACTCTGCTGCTTTCTCACTGTGAGACATTGGGCAATTTATTTAATCTCTGTGTGCCTCAATTTTCTCATCTGAAAAATGGGAATGATAATAATACTTACTTCATAGGGTTGTTATGAGGATTAATCTCTGAAGAGTACTTATAATGGTATCTGTCTAATAATTATTGCTCAATAAATTGTACATTGATGACAATGTCACTATGATGATGCTTGTGACAGACTTATGGGATGTGTGGCTGCTACATATGACATTCCTGGTTTCCTGATCTGTTCCTACACGAAACAAATTCTTGCCCTGAGCTCAACAGGCAGCCTCAGCTAGAGTAGGTGCTCAGTAACCATTTTTGGATGAGCAAATGAATGAGCAAAAGGTGGCTAAGAAGAACCTTGGGAACTCAGAGCCGAACTGTAGCAGCAGGGGCCTGGGGTCTGGCTGGGAAAACTCACCTCACTCATTGGTTCTGCTCCACACTCACGGCCTTGTCCCAGAGCTCTATTCTGCTCCATCATCTTCAAAGGGAAGCTTTGGGGCAAACTCTGGGGAAGCGTGCAGGCAGCTGTTCCATGGAATTTATGATTTGTTTAATTTTTTCTCCCTCTTCTCCTTATAGAAAGGAGCAGCTGGAGGCAGCAGCCAGGTGAGTTTCTGATTATGAATCCCCTTCTTCCCACCACTGTGTCCAGACAGAGGGTCCAGTTCTACACGGTATAGGTGCCCTGAGAGGCCATGCTAGGAACAATATATAGCCTTGGGGGCTCACAGTTGTTGAGGACCACCATCATCCTCTGCTATTTTTATGCTGATTTACTCAAGGACAACTTAACAGGAATCATGGCAGCAGCCATGTACTGAGTGTCTGCTTGGGGCTAGGTTTCTGTGCCTGGAGTTTTGCATATGTTATCTAATTTGGCCCTCACAGTCACAGTGTAAGATAAGGCCTAATATCCTCATTTGTAGATGTGGAGATTGGAGCTCAGAGAAGTTGAGTCATTTCCCCCTAAGGTTGCACAGTGACTGAGAGGCAAGACAAAAATTTAAAGTCAAGTCTGAACATTCGGACCATGTTATTTGCTTCATTTGTTTCTTGGACTCACAGATCATTCTTCAAAAAGGAAATCAAAACTATAATTCATGATACCCAGAACTTTGGATGTTTCCCATTAAACCATGCCCACTGAAGCCTTGCTGCAGAAACAGGAGGAGCTTCTGGGATAGGAGCATCTCTCTAACCCTCCCTTCCTCTCCCTCTCAAGAAGATATCACAATGTCAGAGGAACTGTGGACCCTGCTCTAGATAGTAAAGAAAGACCATCTCCTGCAAACATCAGTTTAAACTACTTATATATTTATATGATAATTATAAATTCATATAATATATAAAATATATAGAAACTATATATATTTAAACTATTATTGTTGACAAGCCACTTGTGAAGCCTCACAGTCAGTCACCCAGACACTAAGCCCAACTACTGTCCTTCTGGAGCTGGCAGAATTTGGGCAGAGGACGTGATAGGACTACCTTGAAGAGAAACTCCTTGTGAACAAGGGTCTTTGGGAAGCTGAGTCAAGTCTTCCTGAGTGGGTCCCTGATGCCCCTTCCATACATCATCCCTTTTGGATCCAGCAATCCCACTGCTGGGTATATATGCAAAGGGATGAAAATCATGATGTTGAAGGGATACCTGCACTCCCATGCCAGCTGGAATTGTAGCTGTGGAGCCAGAAGGTGGGGAATGAGATCTGGAGGAAGGGTGGGTGAATTTCAGACAGAGGAATCAATCCCTTCACTCAAGAAGGCAGGGAACAAGGTGACTACAGAATGCTCAGCCAGGTACACGTGCACTAGACCAGTACTTAATGATGTACATTTTCCACCTTACAACTAGGGTCTTCAACAGCCACCAGCAAACTGGTGTTCCAATCTTACTTTATTATTATTTCTAAATAGTCATAGTCGGATTTGGAGTTTATCTTATTGCCTCCTTCTAGCAGAGGTAGCACACATTGGTTTACTTGTCAGCCTGAGGAAAGAATTATACTCTCTGTGACTTCACAGATCCTGGGCTTATCGGAAAGAGCTCAAGCCCATAGCTGCTTGTAAAGCTATTGTTTTATCAAGGCTGTCTTCACCGTTTTGATTTATGTGGACTTATTTGAGGAACGTAAGCCCAGCTGAATTCTTAAAATGACTGGGGGGTTGGCTGTGATAATTTTATGATTCCTTCTCAGTATCTGTGATTCTGAGGACAATCAGAAGGAAGAGAGCCAGCTTCTTTTGTGGACTCACTAAGAGCTGAACACTTTACCTATCATCTCACCTGATTGTCATAAAAATGGAGGCAGTTGACACCCCTCACACCCCACATTTCTTTTCACCTAGTTTAGATGCTACATTTATGGTGCCCTTAGTTAGGATTCAGAACTTTTCTAATAAATCCTATGTATATGTGTCTGTATATGTGTTTATGTGTATAAAATAAATACCTTATTAGATATATGATATAACCATGATAAATATGATGTATAAACACTTTTTAAATTGTCTCTTCATCTTTAGATCATGAGCTCTATGGGGCTAATGATTTGCCTGAAATGTAGGATGTGCCCATAAATATTTGCTGAATGAATAAATAATGACCTAATTAAAGGATGTACCGTACTTCCATTCTGCTTATGCTGAAATTGATCCCAAGCACTCACATAACTTACACAAGTCAAATGGAGAAATAGCCAAGGTGCGGCTTTCAGTGTAGGTCTGTCCGGCTCACTGAAGGAGCCCACGCTCCTTCCATGCACTGGGCTGATTCCCACTGCAGCACAGGTCCTTGCTGCGCTATCCGTGAGTACAGTGAGCTCGGTTAATCCAACAGACACGTGATATTAGCACCTGTTCTCCCTGGCTAGGAGCTCTCATCTCACATCTTCGTAGAGCTCACTCCTTTTCGGACTCCACCTAATGTCACCTTCTGAGAGAGACCTTCCCTGACCCTCCACCTATGCCCCATCAGTCTCAAGTCCCCTGGCCCCACTTCAGTTTCCTTGTTGACACTGATGATTACCTAATATATACTTTAGATATTAGAGAAAATCCCTCTGAGGGGCTAGATTCTGTCTGTTGTATTCACTGCTTAATCTCCGGTACCTGAAAAAGCAGCTAGAACAGAGCCTAGCACATGGTCAGCTTTCAGTAGATATGAACTTACTGAGACAGTGAGTGGATGGATGGATCGATGGATGGACAGACAAACTGTTCATTCTACAAGTACCATAAACCCAACTTAAATGACTCTAGACTAAGCGGCTCACATAGCCGCTCGTCGGATAGGGTAGGAGCCCCTGAGAAACAAGGAATGGGGCCGTCTGGGTTTTCTGCCTTCATCTCTTGTCTCTGCTTCTCTTTTTGTGATGATTCCACTCTCAGCTGACCTTCTCCACGCTGGTGACGCCGTGGATGCTCACAGCCCCAGGATCTCATTCTTTCCTCTTTCTTCTGTCCATCTATCCTTCACCCAACACCAGTTTAAGAAACCCCAGGGAAGCTCTCAGATTGGCCCATTTTGGGTCTCATATTCACACCTTGGACAATCTCTGTGGCTCAGATGGCAGAAGCTACTACTGAATGATCCCTGGACCCTGTTCCCACCTGTTGGAGTGGGTGGATACAGGTGTAGGATGCTATGATTGGAAGCCCCATTGGAGTCACTTGGTTGAAGTGGGGGGTTATCAGTTCCCAAAAAGAATAGGGTCCTTTTGTTCTAAGAATGGGGGATGAAACATTGAGCAGACAAAAATGATAGTTGTTCATCACAGGCATAAATTCTACTCATAAAATTTCAAATTCCTATTAATAATATTGCATTAAAGAACTTCAACAATAAACCATACTGAGCCTTACTTATTTTATATAAATTATGCCAGAAAAGACTCTGGTTTTTTATGTTAGGGGCATTATTTTGAATGTTCATTATAACTATTTGGTAGATGTGCAGCAGTGATGGTAACTGGGGCATGTTTTTGTTAAAAGCTAGCATTGTTTGAATTCTCAAAACAGGTAACTGTCTTGACAACAGCTGCTTGCCTGAGTCCGGTTGTTCACTCTGTATTTTCAAATAATTCCATCTCAACAGCTGTCTTCAAGACTCTTCCAATGTCTCCACTTTTAGAGAGGGAAGAAATTTGTCCCAGGTACCTTCCTTATTTCCTACCTGGTGGTGATGTCTTTCCCATCACAGATTTGTCACACTTAGTAGAGGATCATTTGTTGGATCAAAGGATTCGAGTATAATGATAATAACTCGTAAAGAATGCTTACTATTTGTCAGGTGTAGTTCTAAGTACGTCCTCATAGCCACTCTAAGAAGTAGGTACTATTTTTAATCCCCATTCTATAGATGATAAACTGAGGTTCAAAGAGGTTGGTGGCTTGCACAAGTTCATACACCACGAAAGAAGCAGAAGCAAGGGTAGGATCCAGTTGGTCTCACTCCGTAGTTCATGATCCCAGCATCTATGCTAGTCCTTCCAGTTCTTGGGAACAGTTACCTAATTAGTCACTGTAGGTGTCCCCTTTGCTTGTTTTGTTTCCTTCTACCCTTTCTTGTCTCACACAACTGGAGTCTATATCACGAGAGGAGGCTGTAGAGCCAAGTAAAGGCACAGAGCCCAGATCTTCTGTGGAGTGAAGGAGGATTTGGTCAGATGCTGTAATTCACACTCTGCCTTCTCCCTGTGTCATTAGCCACATGAAATTCACCTCACAGAGTCATGGATCGTGCTGGCAATAAACACCATGCCCTGGAATCAAAATCAGTGATTACNAATCCCCTAATTTTACTGATGAGAAAATTGTTACCCAGAACAAAATAAGAAGCTTGAATAGCATTCCATGGCTATTAGTATTTTCTCTTGCCGTCCCGACCCTGCAATGCTGTTCCAGGCTTGCAGACTAGCTGAGAAGCAAAGGCAAGATTTAGAACAATTTTGTTTAACCTCAGAGGGATCCCAGACCTGTTTTTCATGGCTTAGTCTCAATTTTCTATTTAGAATAACTTTGGAAGAGGGGTGCTATTTGTAACACCCTTTTTCCTCTGAGTTATGAACCAATTGAAAAATAGACATAGGAGTCAGAGAAGGATCAAAATATAGGTTACATTTGCTGGGTTAAGCAGGGTTGGCTCTGCGGCAACAAGGAGCTTCATAATACTTCCTGCCAGGCCAGGCCTTGGGAGCAGGACAGAGACAGAATAGACACTTTCCCAGCCAGCCTTATGGGTGCCATGGCATGTCTGACCCTGTGAGGCACTGAGGGCTGCAGAGAGAAAGACCTTGTGGGAACGCTGACATTTAATACAGAACTCACCCAATCAAGAAACATGAGCCAATAGCTGCTTCTCACCCATTGCAACCCAGTTAGTTAATTTACCTCTTCTCATAGAGAGAAGCCAGTAGAGGGCGAGAGACTTCTTCCCAATTCTTCCAACAGTGTGAAAATTCCATTTGTCTGACTGCAAAAATATAGGAAAGGATGGTTATCCCAAGGCTTCATGTAACTTTCCCTCTCTCTATGAGCACATCACTCCTTAGCACACAGGAATGTAGCACAGCCCCCCGACCTGGTTCCACCGGTCTGCAAAC